GCTGACACCCTGTCTCCTCCTGCAGGTGGCTTAGCCCTCTACCCACGGGCCGGGCGGCAGGTGGACAGGTGTGTGGGCTGCTCCTGCCTCAAACCCAGAGGTGGCAACGGGCGACCAGGGGATCAGAGCTGAGTGGCGGGGGTCTTGGGGGGAAGCTTCTGAAGAGCCATCCTGGCTGCCTCGGCCAGGCCCCTGGTCACTGCTTCACTTGGGTCTGGAAGAGGCAGGGCGCCCACTTCTCAGGCCGTGTGGTTTGTAGGCCCCTGAACTGCTTCTGAGAGGCCAAGGGGGTGCCCGGTGCTGGAGTCCCCCCACGTGCCGGTGCCAGTGGGCACCTCTGAGTCAAGGGGGGCCCTGGTGATCCCCGATTCCAGGTGGAGTAGGGCTGGTCGGAGTCACCAGTGGATGTTGTAGAAACGACGGTGGGGATTTCCCAGGACAGGCCGTCAGGGTGCCGCTCGCTCTGGAGGAAGAAGAACTGAGGCCTCCGGCCCACAGCCACGGAGGAGCCCCCACTTCCCGTCAGGCCGACAGACAGAACCACCAGCCGAGCCGCTCTGAGACCAAGACCTACGGGAGGGCGAGCTCCCCTCCCTGGGCCGTGCTTTCACTCTCTCGGTCTTGGGGTCACTTGCTCCGTGGGAATAGGGAGCTACAGCAGATGTTATCCTCCCGGGAAACTGAGGCCCGGGGGTGACCTGACTTACACACCAAACACACTCAGAAGAATCGGGGCCCGGATTCGGGCTGGGTCCCTCGGTGCTGAGCTGCCCTCACACAGGACCCTGCAGCCGTGCTGGAGTTCCGGGGTCCTTGTCAGACACTCGGTGACATCTGGAGGCCTCTCCTTGGCCACATCGGGCCCAGCAGCCTGGTCTCGTGTCCGAAGGCCATGCGGCTCCCCGAGGTGTGTGGAAGAGCTGTGCGGGATCAGGAGGCCAGGCTGCCTTTGGAAAGCGGGTGGTCCTGAGTCCAGGGATCTCTCAGGAGACAGAGCAGGGCTGGGCTGGGACAGACCCCCCAGGTCTGCGGATGGAAAGCGTTTCTGGGCTCCAAAGGCTGCCTCTCTCCTTGGCGTGCACCTGCCTCTGCCCACATCAGCTTTGCCAGAGGGAACCTGGCGGGGAGGACAGACTTATTTATAAGCTGTTGTCTGTGGCAGAGCTGTGTCCTCATCACAGGGGCTGGGCTCACCCCGGAGTCTGACCAGCACTTAATTCTACATGAGGGTGGGCACTGTTTAAGCATCTCCTGGTGGGCTTCTCCGTCCTGGAGCATATTAGGGTAACTTTGGAGCAGAAATGACCTGGGCGGATTCACGTCTGAAAGGATCACTAATTAGCTGTGCAGACTGGGGGCGCTGGAGGAGGTGGGAGGGTGCACAGGATAAAGGGCAGGGGTGGGGCTGGGGCCAGCTCAGTGGCATGGACTGGGGACTGGTCAGGTTTCAGAGACATTTTGAGGGCTGAGTCGACGAGGTTTCCAACCAGCTCAGACGATCCGTGCGAGAGAGAGCTCCCGGTCGGCTCTGAGACGCCTGGTCCCCGCAGCGGGGGGCATGGTATCCCCGGGAACCCAGAGGTGGGTCTGGGGGTTTGTCTTGGTTGGGTCAAGGTTGACTCATCTGCGGGGCTCCCAAGAGGAGGAGGTGCTGGACTGAAGGGCCCTGAGGTTCAGGAGGGGGCTCTGGGCTGGAGATCCCACTGTGGAAGGGTCAGCGTGGAGGCAGCGTGGCAGCCCGTGAGGCTGGGGGGTGCTGCCCAAGCCGGGGGCGACAGGAAAGGCCCTGGACCCGCCAGTGTGCAGAGGTCGAGACTGGGCCTCTAGGGAGGACACTGCCCCCAGGACCGGCCTGGGGAAGTGGGTGCTGGCGTCCCGGGCGCAGAGGGATCCTGCGGGGCTACCGCTGTCCCCAAACCCAACAGGTGTGGCCCTGCTGCCCGTGGCTGCCCCGCCCAGGGCTCCTGTTGCAGGGCTGTCGGAGCAGTGCTGCTCACTGAGCATCTGCTGTATACCAAGCATGGCGTCTCTGCAAACGGCACCCTGTGCAGCCCTTTCCGTCACCGGCGGTGGGACACCGGCTGCGCTCGGCCACACGCCCAGCTCTGTGCTCAACACGTCTCCGGCATCACCCTTAACATCTCGAATCTACTTCTGCTGTATTACCCACTCTGCCTTTGAGGCCAACAAGGCTCAGAGGGGGCAAGCACTTGCCACACGTCGCACAGCCGACAGGGGTGGAGCTGTCCTCGAACCCAGGACTCGCTCCCCGGGCCCTGGGCCTGGGCTCTGTCCTGCCTAGGATGTAACTGCCCCCGAGGCCCCATGGCGGGGGGCGCATGGAGGTGTCGAGAGGCTACAGGGCCTCCTCCACACCCCAGGGGTGCCCTCAGGTCACAGCAGGACGAGGATCAGACCACGTGGCGTACTTTGCTCTCTCTTGTTGAGAAAAACAGCTACAGACAAAGAGGCCTCCTCCAGCCGCCACAGGCCAGGCCCCAGCCACCTCCCCTCAAAAGGGCAGCCACGTGTCCAAAGGTGGAAGGAGGTGGTCCGCATCACTCCGAGCAGAGGTGTGAGCCCCAAATGCCAGCACCCCTCCCAGGGTGCTCCAGGGGGCCGGGTTCAGAGGTCGCCCAGCCGGGGCAGGGCAACGCCTCCCAGGGAGGCTGGGGGCAGGCGGGGGGTGTGTGGTCTCATCTACCTGGGGGCTAAGGGCGACCCAAGGAGTCCTGGGTACTTGGTCCAGCCTGGCCAGTGGGAGCATGTGTCCACACCCCTGGCTACAGTCAGCGTCCCAGACGGGGCCAGTGAGATGAAGCCCTGAGAATTGTGGGGCTGGGAGGGTTCAGTGGGTGCTGCCTTCCACTGTGGAGAAAGTGGGAGATGAGCCTCTTGATCCAGCCACACCTGAAGCTGCTCGCTCCTGGCCCAGCAGTCACCTTCTATCTCCTTGGGCATTTTGCGTTGGGTTCTTGTCATGAGAGTTCTGATCTACAGAATTGGAAGCGGGGGGCTGGGCTGTGACTTCTCTTCCTGTCTGGAAACTCACATTCCGGGAAATGACAGGGAGTGGGGGGGGGCCTCCTGTTGGGCCCCTGACCCAGGACTTCCCTGACAAGGACAAAGGGGGTCTCCTCGCCCACCCCCTCCCTTCTAAGTTGCCGGGCCAGGGTCTGATCGCCCTGTTTTTGCACGAGGCCGTTTACGGGCCTCGTCTGTGATCCGGAGCCCTACGTGTGCAGGGGAAGCTGTGTGCGGCTGGGTCCCGGTGTGGCAGCTGAGAGGGGTGGTATCTTCACGTCCCACACACCACGCACGTGTCCCCTGAGTGGAGGGGTCACAGTCGTGACATCGACTGGCCATGTCTGTCCTGTTCAGGCTGACGGAGGAGCGTCTTCTCGCAGCCACAAATAGTGCACAAGACTTGGGGGGGGGCTTCCTCCGTTCTCACTGCCTCCTTCCTTGCTACCCTATTTCCCCCTCCCCCTCTCCCTCCTGCTGCCCTCTCTCCCCGTCCCGTCCCCTCCTCCCCTCCCCCCACGTCTTGGCCTCCCCTCTCCTCCCGAGGCCTCCCGGCCTCAGGGAAGCCGCCTCCCACTCCCCCAGTTGCTTCCCCTGGGGCGTGCCCAGTGGGCCAGGCCTGCGTGTGGAAGCCTCTTTTATAGGAAAGTCCTTTGCCCCAGACCTCACTTGGCCCCGGAGGGCAGGGGTGGGGATATCCCGGCTGCCCCAGCCAGAGGACACCTGCCCCCAGGAGGACTCGTTGAGCCACCCCGGCCCAGACCATCCCCGTCCCTCCCCCAGAGGCCAGCCCACCAGGCCAAGGGCGCTGCCGCAAGGCAGCCCTTCCCTCCCGCGCCAGGCCGGTGGGAATGTGGCCAGGCTGACGGCATGGCCACAGGAGAAGAGGCCACGATGCTCTCGGGGGTCTTTACATCACTTCTGCATTTTCTTTCCACAACAGCTCTGGAACCGAAGTATCATCGTCCTGTTTTCCCCGATGGGGAAACTGAGGCTTGGAGCTGTGATATGATTTGCCCCGTCACAGGGTCAGCAAGAGGCTGAAGCCAGGCTCAGCTGGCCCTTGGATGGCTGTCCAGGGCTGGCAGTTTGGATGAGGGGAGGGCTTCCTGGAGGAGGAGGGCCACCTGGCAATGCTGTCAGTTCAGAGGCAACTTGAGGCCCAGGTAGGGTGGGGACTTGCCAGCCCCCAGCCCAGAGCCATGGCTTCTGATTCCCACATGTCTCTTTTCAAATAGAAGCCACTGAGTTTCTTAGACAGAATATTAGTCATCGCAGGCCTGGACGCTGGATTAAAAAGAGCCAGACAAGCAGCCCCGCCCCCCACCAACCTCACGGACCATGCTGCATCTCTGCTAACGCTTAGAAAATCAGGGCTCCAGGAATCCCACTACTGGGCATATACCCTGAGAAAACCATAATTCCAAAAGAGTCATGTACCACAATGTTCACTGCAGCTCTATTTACAATAGCCAAGACATGGAAGCAACCTAAGTGTCCATCAACAGATGAATGGATAAAGAAGATGTGGCACATATATACAGTGGAATATTACTCACCCATAAAAAGAAACGAAATTGAGTTATTTTTAGTGAGGTGGATGGACCTAGAGACTGTTGTACAGAGTGAAGTAAGTCAGAAAGAGAAAAACAAATACGGTATGCTAACACATATATATGGAATCTAAAAAAACAAAAAAAGTTCTGAAGGACCTAGGGGTAAGACAGGAATAAAGATGCAGACGTAGAGAATGGACTTGAGGACACGGGGAGGGGGAAGGGTAAGCTGGGATGAAATGAGAGAGTGGCATGGACATCCATACACTACCAAATGTAAAACAGATAGCTAGCGGGAAGCAGCCGCAGAGCACAGGGAGATCAGCTCGGTGCTTTGTGACCACCTAGAGGGGTGGGATAGGGAGGGTGGGAGGGAGGGAGACGCAAGAGGGAGGGGATATATGTATACATATGGCTGATTCACTTTGTTATACAGCAGAAACACACCATTGTAAAGCAGTTATACTCCAATAAAGATGTTAAAAAGAAGAAAGAAAGAAAGAAAATCAGGGCGCTCAAAACCCGGCAGGAGAATACAGGGGTGAGAGTACAGGACACATCACCGGAGCTTCCACGTGGCAGGAAACCATCCTCACAGCCGCCACCTGAAGGAAGGATGCCATTTCTAACCAGAGGGGAAGGGTTAAGAAAACACAGTCTGTTCACACCTGGGGTTTTAGGTTGTTTCCAACTTTTGCTTTTTCAAGTTGCACTGCCCTGAACCCTTTAGTCTGTGGCCGTTCTGTATGTGGGTCATTTTCTTAGGCTAGGTGCCCAGACGTGGGATTATGGGGTCAGGGACCATGGCCACTTTCACGGCTCCTGATCCAAGTGGCCGCCAGCTCTGACCGCGGCCAGCAGCCGCTGGGAAAGCAGCTCCCACGGCCCCTCCCCTCCCACTCGGTGTCCCCTCGCCATGGGAAACAGCAGACCCTGGGCTGCGTTTTCATTGTTGGCCGGCAGTAGAGTGTCTCCATGAATTTGTCCCCATGTGTTGCTTTTGTGCATCTTCCCTGGTCTTCTGACGAGAGAACATGAGCAAAGACCCCGGCAGATGATGTGATTTAAAGATTTCCTGATACACTTGTTCTGTGCAGATGAAAATACACAGGGACAGTGGAAACATGATTATAACACGCAACTGAAGGATTCCCTTTGTTCAGGTTTTTAAATTTTTTACCTGTTTTCAACTTCTGTGCTGTCAAATCTGACAGTCATTTTTGAACTTTAAAAATGTGACACATAGGGCTTCCCTGGTGGCGCAGTGGTTAAGAGTCCGCCTGCAGATGCAGGGGACACGCGTTCGTGCCCCGGTCTGGGAAGATCCCACGTGCCCCGGAGCGGCTGGGCCCGTGAGCCATGGCCGCTGAGCCTGCGCGTCCGGAGCCTGTGCTCCGCAACGGGAGAGGCCACAACAGTGAGAGGCCCGCGTACCGCAAAAAAAAAAAAAAAGTGACCCATAGCAAATGTGATTTGTTCTATGTCTTCTAGAGCTCTGAAAGTTCCCTGCCTTCTAGAAGTCTGATCAACTATGGGAAAACTAGAAAATACGAATTAGCAGTTTTTCATAACTTTCATTTTGAAAAATTTCAATCTTATAGAAAAGTGGTAACAATAGTACAATGAGTGTACAAGTGTACAATAGTACAACTTCACCTGAGTTAAGCACCCACTTGCTCTCCCCACCTGGGCTCTGTCATCCATCCACCTGCCATCTATCTGCCATCTACCACCCATCTCCCCACTAGGTATCTATGTATCTTCCATGTATGTATGTATACACATATGCATCTATCCATCCATCCACCCATCCATCCATCCATCCATCCATCATCTGTCACTTCCACTCCCCACTCCCTGAACCATGTGAAAACAAGCTGCAACATCCTGGCTCTTCACGCCAGGTACCACAGGTCTCCCAAGGACAAGGAAGTCCTCCTGCATTACTGTGACACCATCACCACACCTAGTAGTTTGACTTGGATACAATAACGTATATTTCTCTGGTGGACCCAGTTATGTCCTGAGAGCTGCTTGCTGGTCTGGACGGAGGAGCCAGTCCAGGACCGGGAGCCGAGCTGACCGTCCTGCCTTTTCAACCCCCGTCGGCCCCAACAACTCACTCCCCGTGTTCTCTTCCTGACAGTGATATTTCTGAAGCGTCAGGAGCAGGTGTCTGCTGGACCCTCTCTGAACCTGGGTGTGTCTCCCCCTCCTCAAGGCAACGGTGTTGGTGAGAACGCTGCAGGGGAGGGCGTGGACCTCCACCAAGACACACGTGGTTGAGTTTGTTCCAAAGCGTTTGTTTAACAACTTATCTTCTCAATCCATTGAAATGTATTTAGTGGCGAGGGGAAGTGAGGGTTTAGTCAGGCAGTTTCTCTAAACTGCCCCAGTGGCATTTAATAAATAACCCTTTCGATTCCTCTAGAACAGTCTTTTCTGGGCTCTTTGGTCTGAGAGCCACGCTGCTCTGATTATCCCAGCTCTATAGTATTGCACCTTCCTTCTCACACTCACAGCCCCTGGTCTTCTTCACTCTGGAAGTTTCTCTGCTCACCCCTCAGCCCCGCCTCTACAGGCCACTTTGATTCCTTGCTCCCTGTGAGCCGAGGTCACCTGTGTGCGGATCCACCAGCCCTGGTCTGACCTGTGCCTTCTGCTCCAGGGAGGTGCTGGCTGCCCCGACGTAGGAAGCCTTTGCCATCCAGTGAGCCCGTCTCTCTGGAGGACACCATCTCACCATCTTTCCTCCAGGAGGCCTGGAAAGCCAGTGAGGCGTGTCCCCCGAGTTGCCGTGAGCCCCAGGCTCCGACCTCTGCCTGCGGGGCTGGGGGGGGCCGGGGGGGCGAGCCCTGTCAAATCTGAAGGCCAAGGGGGAATGTATGCCCCTCCCACCCCATCCACAGTCAGGACAGAGGGACAGGGCCTGCAGGTGGCCCCCAGGGAAGGAGATGTGGGTTAGCTATGGGTTCAAGCCAGGTGATCAGCCAGACGTGAACCCTTGGAATTGGTCATGAGTCCTAAAGACCCTGAGAGTTGGTGGTGGTGGGGGGAGCGGTTAGCTGCTTTGGCCTGGCAGGCTGGCAGGTGGCCGGTGGTCAGTAGAGCTTCTGTTTATGTCCCTACATGTTGTGTCCCCGCCCACAGCCTTCCAGTGGCCTCTGTCCCCCTAGAACAAATCCACATCCCTAACTTGGTCTTAAGGCCTGTGTGACCTGCTCACTGCCCACCTGTCTGTCCCAGCCCATGCCCTCCTACCACCCCCTCTTGTTGGTCCTCGACAAACCAAGCCGGTTCCTGCCTCAGGGCCTTTGCACGGGATGCTGTGACCTCTGCTTAGAATGCTCCATCCTGATCTTCTCATCACTGGCTCCTTTTCTTTCTTTCTTTCTTTTTTTTTAAATGAAATAGTTCTTTTTATTTATTTATTTTTAATTAAATAAAGCCCATTGTGGTGTGTGGGCTTCTCATTGCAGTGGCTTCTCTTGTTGCAGAGCATGGGCTCTAGGTGTGTGGGCTTCAGTAGTTGCGGTGTGTGGCCTCAGTAGTTGTGGCATGCAAGCTCTAGGGTGCGTGGGCTTCAGTAGTTGTGGCGCGCGGGCTTAGCTGCTCCGGGGCATGTGGGATCTTCCCGGACCAGGGCTTGAACCCACGTCCCCTGCATTGGCAGGTGGATTCTTAACCACTGCGCCACCAGGGAAGCCCCGCACTGGCTCCTTTTCAAACAGGCCTTCCTGACAACCCCAGATTCCTGACCTGGAAGAGTGTACACTTACTTGTCACTTGTTTGTTGCTCCCTGAAGAGACTGTGTGTTCCATGAGGGCATCGTGTTAGCGCTGCATCCCTGTGCCGCGCCCAGTGCCTGGCACAGAATATCTGTTGCGTGAACGAGTGAATATTTCCTCAAGTGGCCCTGTGAGTTGGCTGCTACCCAGAGGAGGCAGCTGAGGCTCTGAGGTGCTAAAGAGTTTGCTCAAGGTCATACGGCAGATGAGGCAACGGGGGTGGGCAGAGCAGACCCCCAGCTCTGCTGCTCTCCAGGTCCTTCAGGATTTTCAGGGCAGGACATGCGCCCCCCGCCCCCGCCGCCCCCTACACCCACACTCACCTGCTTAGCTCCACCAAGTAGATATGAGCTCCGGGTGTCTAGACCAGCCTTGTCCAGTAGAAACGTCATTAAAGCCACATACGGAATTTAAAATTTTCTAGTAAACACATTAAACAAAGGAAAAACAAATGGGTGAAATTAATTGCAATCATACAGTTTACTGAACTCAATATGTCAAAATCTTATCATTTTAACAGGTAATTAATGTCAAAATTATTGACGAGAGATTTTACGCTCTTCACTTTCACACCAAGTCCTGGACGCTGGGTGTGTTTTACATTAACAACAGCACATCACAGCTCAGACCGGCCATGTTTCAAATGCCCGATGGCCTTGCGTGGCTAGTGGCTCCTGTCCTGGACAGTCCAGATCTGGCATCGGTTCCTGAAGCCCCCCCAGTGCTCCTTCCCTTAGGTCTTTATTCACAAAACAGCCACAAAACGACTGCGGGCTCATGTGCTATTTGAAACTCCATTGCTGTCTGTGTATTGAAAAAGGAAAATAAAAATGTCTAATAGAGAGTTAAAATCAGCATTGAGAGTGCCCTCCTGGGCTGCTGGCTGCCTCATCTCCCTTTCTGGGGAGGCTGGACTGGAAAGGCCTGATCCCGAGCCTGGGCCTGGGGCGGCCTGAGATGATGACTTAATTAACACCCGCCAGGCACTTTTGATCTTCAAGGAGCGGTGCCCACTCAGCTGAGGCTGCTCCTGGATTAATTGCCCTGAACCAAGAAATCCTTGCCCAGAGATAAAGGGAAATGCGCTGTTTCGTCATTACAAATTGCTCTGAAATCTGCTCTGGCACCCGGCAGAGGCCTGGGTCTGAACGCCCCGCTGGCCCCCACCTGCACCACCCAGATGAAAGCAGCTGGGCGGCTGTGCCCTTGCCTCAGGGCACCGGGCCCTGCGCGTGTGCGCAAGGCTGCTGCCTTCGTGGGCAGGAGGCTCAATGGCGGGGGGCAGCCGGGCATGGTAAGGTTATCGGCCCCCACTTTTCAGATGAGAGAACAGACTCAAGGCAGTGCGGGGACAAACCACCCCAAGGCCAAGGTCAAGGGGCAGAGGGCAGCTAGAGCACCTTGGGACTGGGGATCAGGTGGACGTGGGCTCCAGTCCTGATGCCTTCACTGTCAGGTGGCCACATCATCCGGCATGCCTGTCTGAGAAGTGCAGGACAAGCCGGCCCGAGGGTCCCCTCTGGAGCACAGGAAGAGCCCGTCCAGAGCTGCCACGGCCCAGGAGCGACCGCCTCAGACAGCGTTCTGCGGCTGTGGGCAAATGCCTGACTTCCTGGTATCTGTCAAATGGGAGGTGGGGCAGCTCTCCACTCCCAGGGGTCACTCAGGGACCGAGGTGCCCAGTAGATATTAGTCATGACTCCCACTGTGAAAAAAATGATGAGAGCAATAATGGAGCGCCGACTGGTGCCAGGTCCCAGGCAGGCACTGCACAGGGCAGAGCGGGAGTGGGGTGAGGGGGGCTTGTAGGGTGAAATGCTGGCTGCGTACCACCAAGTGCTGGGCTGGCTGACAGGTCCTTACTGAAGCCCCCCGCCCACCACCTCTGAGGAACGGCCAAGGCCCTTCCCTCTCCTCCCAGGGTGCGGGGGCCATGGGCGGTGCCGAAGGGAACCCAGCGAGGGGCAGACGGCCAGACAGTTACCCCAGCTGCGCCGGGAGCCCCCCTTTGCGCCTATTCGGAGCACCTGACTCACCTTAATTATAGGTCCGCGGCACGTCGGGGACGCCCGAGATAGTCCGGAAGCACCGGCTCCGGGGGCGACCGGACATCCCGGGCAGCCAGGTGCGCCTTCACCGCCCACCGGCACCTCCCCACCCCGACCCGCGGAGCTCCCCGCAGCGCCCCCTTCTTCCGCCAGGGGCCCTCTGGCTGGCCTGGGGGCGCCCGCAGCCTGCCCGGGTCACGTGTCCCGGGTGTGGGGTCCGAAGTGTGTGTGTGTGTGTGTGTGTGTGGCGGGGGCGGGGAGGGGGGCGCACGCGGGGCGGGGAACTGGCCGGGGGTCTGAGCCGGCCTCCCGCCCTGGGCGGGGATGCCCCGCGGAGCCTGCAGCGCCGCGCCCACGCGCTCAGCACAGCCGCCCACGCCTCCTCCGACTCCAATGTATATTTAGCCTCTTTATCAAATGTTTGCAGTGAACCGTGCGAACCGCCTAATAGCGGCTGGAAGTGAAACTCGATTCCCGGACAGAAAGGAGCATGTGACCGCGCCTGAGCTGCAAGGATCGCCGACAGGGGCAGGTGCTGGAGCCCCCACGCGCCCGGCCTCCGGAGTGAGGTCCCCTCTCCCGCCGAGCATCCGAAACCGCCTTCCCACTTAGCCCCCTTCTCCAGAGATGAGGACGCCAGAGTCTGAAACGGGGAGGGGTGTTGGGGAGAGGTGCCAGGGCTGGGGAGTCCACGCGTGCGTGGGTTCTCATCCAAGTTGGTGACCTCTTGGTCAAGACAGTCCAAGGTCTAGGAAACAGCTTCTAGGGATCTATTTCTGCCAGTTTCTTCCGAGGACCCGGGGGGAGGGTGGGGCGGGCTGGGTTGGCGGTCCCTGTCCCACCCCAGGGCAGGCCTTGGTGCGCCAACGCGCGTCGTGCCCCGAGTCTCCCCCCAAAACGGCTGTCGCGCGGCTGCACAAGTTTGTGCCACCCTCGCGCAGCCGCTGTTGTCGTGGTCGCTATGACGACGCGCCGCGGTTTTATTTTTAATAGCGGCCAGCGATTAGAAGGATGCCTGCGCCGCCCCCCCGCAGATCTCCAGTCCCGGTGGTGGATGCACCCAGGCCTGCCCCTCTCCCCGCCTAGCTTTGGTTGGAGCTCCCGTAGAAGGCGCCCCCCACCCCCGTTTCCGCGTTCCCAGATCTCCTCCCCTCCGCCCCAAACTCGAACTGAGAGCCCCTGAATTGCCAGGCCGGGATGGGGCACAGAGGGAATCACCCTTCGAGGTTTGCTCAAAGGTGGCGGGACACCCAGGAACCAGCGAGCCTCTGTACAGAGGTTAGAGCCGGAAGGGCCCCTGCCCCCACCCCCCGTGCAATACAAGGTGACCTTTCCTCTTTCATTCCCACACCCACTATCAAACCGAGTCCTTTCACCCCAAAGAAGTGTCCTCGGGTCCCCTCTGCCTGCGAGGAATCCGAGGCTCAACCAGACGTGCTGCAGTCAGCAATCAGGATGAGTGAGCCACGGAGGGCTCTGCTTGGGGTGCAGCCTGAGTCCTGGCAGTGTGCTTTTGGCGGCCGTCCAGAAACCGTCCAGTGGTCTCCCTCCGAAGCAATGGAGGTCCACCTGGGTGGACAAGGGCTGGCTCTAACGCGCTTTTAAACGGTTCCAAGGTTTCCCTAGTTCTGCCTCGGTCATCCTTCATCCTGACCCCTGAAAGCGCGCTTGACGGGGGAGGTCGCAGGTGGGGCTACGGTAGACGAGGCAGGTGCGTTGGGGGGCTGCAGGTGTGTGGAGGCCAGTGGAAGAGCGCTGGTAGCCCCGGCCCACTGGGAATCGCAGGAGGGGCCCACCCCTCCCCCCAGGAATTTGGGGGAAGGCGAGCGCCCCCCAAGCGCCCACTGGACTCCGCCTTTGAAATGCCAGAGCCGGCCGAGCCGAGGATGAAAGACCGCCTGCGGGGCTGAGCCTTTACTGCCTTTGGCGGGAGGGCGGCCGCGGCGGGCAAGGGCCTAATCCACAGGATGGGGGCGTGGGGGTGGAGGGCTAGGGCAGGCGGAATTCTCCTTTGGCCGCCCACCGCTCCGCAGTCTCCTCGCCTCTAACGGCCTCGCCGTCTAGGTTCGGGGTCGCTTGGCACGTCACCCCTCTAGGCGATACCGGGGCTCGTCCGCCCCCTCGAGGGACCCGCCGCCGGGGTGCGATCCCGCCAGGTCTAGGCAGGCGGAATCTACCCAGCCCGGCGCATCGCCCTTTGGTGGCGGGGGAGCCGTCCGGCCCAGTTCAGGCCTCGGCCTCCCTCGCGTCTCTCCCCCGCATCGCTCTGTGCGGCGCCGCGGCCGGAGGTGGCGCTCTGTGCGCCCAGCGGATCCCGGCGCGGGAGGCTCAGACTCCCGGGTGCCTCATGAGCGGCTCTTTTCTTTTCCTTGCCTTCCAACCCCTCGAGTTCCCGGCTCAGGCCGCCGCCCGGCTTTCCACGAGGCAGCAGGGACTTGGAGGATGAGGGGTCCCAGGGTGGGGACGAGGCACGCTGCAGCCCCCTCCTCCGACCTGGGCGCTCTCCCCTCGTGGACTGTGGGTGGAGGCTCCACAGTCAGACGCCCCAGTCATCGGATTCTGGGCGGGGGCGCGTGGCAGCCGCCAGGTGAGTGCCCCAGACGCACCCCTAAACCCGCCCCACCTCTCACCAGAGACTCACTCCCCCTCCTTTTATGGAGAGGGGGAGGCAGGGGCCCATGATCCAAACCGTGGAAAGAAGCCGGAGCGCCGGGGCGGGGGGCGGGAGGCGGGGGCCGGCTCGCTTTTGCCCTTTTTGGCGTAGCAGTTCTGGGCGCTGCCCTCTGCCGCCGCTGGGGCCCGAGAGAGGCGAGCCGGCGACGGCGGCACTTCTGCGGCGGCCTCCTCCCCTCCCCGTCCGGTGCTGCAGGATTGCAGCTGGCACTGGAGGGTGGGCAAGCTCGAGGGAGGGGGTGCGCGGGGAGCCCCGGCGGCTGTGCTCGGGGCCGGGAGCGGGGCCTTGATGGATTTTACTGCCTGCGTGAGCGCGTGTGTGCTCACTGCGGCGGCGGCGGCGGCGGCCGGGCCCTGCCCGGCCCGTGAGGCCCCCGCACGCTTCCGAGGTGCGGGTCGCGGGCCCGGAATCCGGGGGAGGCGAGGGGGAGGGGGCGGGGGAGGGGCGCGGCGGCGGCGGCGCTATAACCCCCCTCCCAGCCGCCGGCCGGCTCCACACGCGCGCCCTGCGGAGCCCGCACAACTCCGGCGAGCCGGGCCTGCCCGCGCCCCTCCTCCTCTCCTGCCGCCGGCGGCGGCGGCGGCGGCGGCGGCTCGGCCCT